AAAGTATTTGGTTGAGAAACCTATGGATTTCCATTGAAATAAATGCTCTTACTTGTCGAATCTTTACTGTTTTTTTCTTTGATTAATGTTTTTTTCAAAGATTTTGTGTTAAAACTTTAGAGGTTTGTGTTTTCCTTACACCAAAAAGATTAAAATTACAACAAACAATATACAAATGAAATTCTACAACTATAAATATACAACTATAATGTAACCAATCAGTCAATCACCTATTTTTTTGCAAAGAGTGAAAAAATATTAAAAAAAAAGAAGAGGAATTGTGTGCTAGATTCCGATGTATTTAAATAAGATCGGTTGTTCCTTAAAACGATATAGGATAGGATATGAATTAGAATTACATATAGTTACGATTTATATGTGTTTTTCTTTTTGTAAATATATTCTTCACTTTGAAAAGCTATACACATTTGAAAAAATTAAGTTTAAATTTAAAAATTATTATTTTTGTCTAAGTATTTAAAAATTTTGTTTAAATGTACTAAAATCTATTATTTTAATTAAATTTAATCAATTGTTATTGTTTTGTCATATTTAATCACTCCTAAAGCAAGTTTCGTTAACATGTTGTATTAAGAACAATTAAATGGAAAGTAAAAGAAGAGGACCTTCACTTGTGGTATTGTTGGAAGACGAAGAACTCTTGCTCCAAACATCTTCAAGGTAGCAAGAATCATACCTAATCTAAAAGAGAGGGGGCTGGAGTTCCCTCTTTACCATGTGACTCCATTGCAAGAATATGTAGACATCAACATTCAAACCCCATCCTATGTTTTGGCTTCGAAATCGATCGAAGGATATGTTTGAGTCCTTCGGATGGCTCTCTTCTTAGGTTGGTCTTGCAGGTTGTGATCTCTGATCTGATTTGAGTGTATTTGTTTGGACAATGCTCATTCTATGCGCAGTCGGTCTATGCTCGATTGTCCTCTACAAATTCTTCTTTGGGTTGTTGAAGTTTCTGGGTTTGAGAGGAGAAGTATATGCCTTTAGTATCTTTACTCATTGTATTTTCCTTTGTTGGTTGTCTTATGTATTATTTTACCATAATGTATCAACTCTCTCTGCACAAGTATTTCAATAGAAGAATTTAAAAAAAAAAAAAAACATTCAAACCCCACCTCCTATTAATGCCTTCACATGTCTCCCTCTCTCTCTCTTATGTATAGTTGTATATTGTATGAGTTTGTGTATACATGTGTGCATGTGTTTGTGTGTCCTTGATTTTACGGATTTGTTCTCGCTCGGATCAATTACTGTCCTTTTGATCATTTTCTTTTGCTGCACTTGTGATGACTTTGGAATTATTGGTTTCACTAGATCCACATATTTTCTCTTCCTTGCAATTTAAAAGACAGCAAAGCAAATTAAACTTAGTTTATATTACTAATGTTACTATAAGGTTTGTAACCGTTTATGTTGATAGATACCATTTTACGCCAAAATAATAATTTCTACTATATATTTTGTTTGCTTAAATATTAAATTTATTGATCAACAAAACAATACTTTTATGTACAAAAAAAAAAAAATACAATCCAATAAATTTCCAACAGCCATCAATAAAAACATGTCAACACACCAAAAAAATGTCTCTTTCGTATAATTGGTCTGTTCGAAAACCAGTTTCATAATTAGGACCCTAACACACACACTCACCTTTGAGACACCTTTTCCAAGGTAGTCAGATCCGCTCAAGAGCCTCATAGATTCCTATGGCAAGTATACAATAATAAGTTAACAGACCAAAAATCCAACAAGCCAGATTAATCTATCCTAACATCTATGTTATTTAAGCCAATATGTTAAGTGATATTGTCCTCGTAATATATATAATAAACTAATATATAAAATGTTAGGGCCAATCCACAAGATGGATTTAACAACAATACAGTGATTCGAGATTGTAATGATAGATACGAACATAATCAATCTGCAAAAATCGTTAAAAAAAAATGATACAAATCTCACTCATAATTTCGTTTCTACAAAATCAAACACCGATCATCAATCACAGTCACATAACCAGTTCAATACTCATCATCCAAACAGTACCAGAAAGAAAACGATCGAAAATAAACAGAAAACTCAACGGAATCGAAAAGGAAGAAAACAAATCTCGACGGTGGGGTTTCCACGACTATCGAAGATCTGTCTAGCTTTCACAACAATGATAGTAGCCATAGTCGATTAGATCTTAAGTGAGATGAAGAAAAAAAATCGAAAGAGTTCAAGAGAGGATTTTGATGAAAAACACTCGTCGAATTTACAGGAATATATACAATATTAATGCGATCGTGTGTATTATTAAATGTACATAGATTTTGAGTAATTAATGTTCATTAATATTAAATTTTTAAATCACAAATTAGTGAAAGGTAAATGGACCATTGTTTAGAATTAGGACCCAAACAAAAAGTGGGACATAAATTTAAAAATGAATATGAACCTTTAAGTTATGCATTTGATTATTGCGTGGAACAAAATTATGATATGGTTTGGTAGTCGATGCTACCGTGTTATTAGTTCCTGCAAAATCTTATTAAGGTTTGAGTTCTTTAATCAAGGACAGATGGAATAACAATGGTAGCTACCTACTCAGGTCGATGCATATTCCTTTGGCATCTTTGCTTTTCACCCTCCTTTTTTTTTCTAACGCCTGATTATTACTTAATTACAAAATTTTCTTTCTAAAAAAAAAGATTATTACTTAATTTCATTATAAAAAATTATTAATGTGCAGATGCTGAAACAAGATTCCAACAACAATTTTACTATTTTATTTTCTCTTTTCAGATCTTTGTCAATTATGAATTATTGAATATGGACTTCTGTTTGATTTTTTTTTTTTAATGTTTTCTTTCAAATTGAATAGAAATGTGGTTTTAGTGATTTATACTAGGGTGGTTGAAATTTGTATTCATCAACAAAATTTAAAAAAATGAATTACTCTATTTTTTTCAACTTTACTTTACTGAAATGTAAAGGAAAACCGACCTACTGAAATATATACAATACGAATACAAAAGATTATCTACTTTAGTTTTTTTAAGAGAGGATTAGCCGATTAGGGATCAAGAGGTTACTAGCAAGCAAAACCAATAAAATCGATAAATCCCAGACCATAACAATGGCTAACCATCAATGACCATAGTATGCATAGCAAAGTAGTATAAACATAAAAAAAGAAAAAAATTATTAGCATCCAAAACAACCCAAAAAAGAATAACATAAATATATACAAAATATAATAAAAAACAACCAATCAACGTAAACTTTCTCGATAACGAGATTTCTTATGTGTGTGTTGTGATAAACTCATCCTTGAGGATCTTGTCCGAGTGAATATCTGCAAGCTCGACAAGATCAAATGCATTGGATGAGTCCATAGAGGCAATGAGTTTATCTCTGCAGAGTCTTTGGAGGCACGGAATCTCGTGTTTACGTGCAGCTTTGTAGAGTGCAAGAGCATGTTGCGCCAGTTTGTGATCCGGAAGATGGCCGAAAGTGTACACGAACTCGAGAAACGTCTCTAGCTGATCTGGAACATTGATTGGTTCTTTTGGTGGTGATTTACTTAAATCAAACATATCTCTAAACAAACTCGATGCTCCAGTCAAGAATATTTTTTGAGCTGGGATATGATCGGGATGATCATTTGCTATGAACCATACATCGGCTCCGTCTCCTTTTTTCCGCATTGTCTCAACTGTAAGCTTTTTAGATTCATCCATTTTTTACG